CCCTTTTATGTTATTGTAAGTAAAGGAGCTCCGTCTTGAAATTACACTTTAAAGAAAAGAGGCATGGATGGGAGATGTGGAGGTCATTCAGGCAGCAACAAGTGAAGCAGAGCAACTCCCATTTGTGCTCAGCCAGATGTTCACGAGCTTTTGCCAATAGCTCAAAAGGCTGATGCTACATAAATTACTATATCCCAGGGACTAATTCAATGGGTGTGATGGAAGGGGAAGGGAGGAGGATGGTACCCTGTCAGTCAGAGGTCAGGTGTAATACATGGGATTGAACGAACCAATATTCAGCCAGTTCTGTTTTTTCTTTTATTATTGTGGATTGAAAACACTCATTTTCCCACAGAAAGCAGAAGAAAAGTCAATACTTTCATGAAGACTATAGAGACCGATTATTATTTTCTTTAAAAAGTCCTTTTCCCATGTAGTCGAAAGAGTTGAATACCCAATGGAACTTGAGCCTCTGATGGTCATCTTTGAAAATATAGAATCCCCTTTGAAAGCTACCAGTGGTCTGGTAACATAAAGATCTTCAAAGGCTTCTCTGGCTTTCTGAAAAGATGCCAATTGCAAACCAAACTGCCTCCCTTCCACTGCCACATTTGTACCAAATTCAGCTAGAGAAATCCCTTTTCGCCTAGCATGAGTTGTTTCCTCTCTAGTAGAGTTATTTTTACAAAAGTAAAAGCCAACAAAAAATCAGGATTAAATCAGGATTAAATAGCAGTTATCTTATAGAGCGTGAAGCCTTCTCTCAACCAAAGTGCTGCTGGTGCAGCAAATAGGAAAAAAATAGGAAGTTGTAGTCTGCTACCTCTTGTGTGTGTCTGTCTGTATCAGAAGCCCAATTGTCTTCGACGCTCTGCTTGTAGAAAGAAGTGGTGAGCTAAGAGAATCTCTTTGTCTTTCAAGAATACACACCTACCCATTGTGAAGTGAAGGATAATTTAACAAATGTGACTCTTGCTTGTTGCAGAAAGGTAAATAAAACTCAAGTCCATGCAAGTGGCTGGTTTTCTATCAGATAGTTTCAAAAAAGTTGACTCTGATTTTGAATGTTTGAGGTCGGCAATGCTGATGCTTTTTAATTTCTCAGAATGTTTTACAGTGTACAGATAAAAAGCAGAGTTTCAAGGTTAAGGAAGTACCAACTCAGAATCCCAAACAGTATTGCTTAATCAGTAGGAAGTCCATGGAGGGACAGAGTGCCTTTTCTTTCATAAAATAAAGAAATAAGCAGTGCCCTCTAGTGTTAACATCAGAGAGAACCACCAGGAGAATTTTCTGTCATCTAGGCATCTGCAATTAAACCTATTTCACAGCTGCACTTGCTGATCTTTATTTCTTCAAGAAAAGTAGTAAAAAAGAACTGCAATAGCATAGCTTATCAGGACATAACTATCAGAAATGTAGTCATTAATAGGTAAGCACAGTCAGTTATCTCAAACTCCCTGACCTGTTTTATCTTCTCTAATCTTGAAGCATATGAGTCTAGTACGTCTCCAGCCTGCTCCTGACCTGGGGAAGGGCGGGAGATGTGTTTTACCAAATGGCCAGAGACTTTTTTTTCAGGGAGAGGTATAGCAGCGAGTGTTCGTGCTTGAAGTTCAGATGTTCAAATTCTGGCATAAAGCAGTCCTGGTGTGTACGTAATGAAGCTTATCTACAACGTGTTATAATAAGGCAGTGAGCAGGTAGATCTTTTGGTCTGTCCTTGGAGCACCTCAGAATTTTTGGTCCTGGTGGTTGTAGCAGGTTGGACTCCTGTTTCAGAGCCACAGGAATCATTTGTTTCAGTTAAAGACAACTCTGTCAGGGATGCACCGTGGGACAGTCACCTCTGTGCTTTAGCATGTAGGGCTATTTCTCTGTTTAAAAGAGGGCAACACTTTAAATTGCTAATGTAGAACATGGAGTGTTAAAAAGCATTTGCTATCTGGTTTCTGCATCATCTTCATTGTGAAAACATTGTAAACATATGTTCCTTTCCCTCTCTTGTTTTTTTTGTTTGTTTTTGTTTTTTTTTTTTAATTTGGTTTTCTAACATAGAAAAAGTGTTTACGAGTGGCTATTGCCTTTCAGTTTCTGCTGATGCATTTTTGTAGCCCTGGTTGCAGTCTGGGGCGTTTTGGATGAGCCCCGAGGTCCCTGTGGTATTCAGTTACTGTTTACAAGTAGGAATTCTCTAAGGCCTTGACAGCATCTTGCTTAGTGTCCCTGAGCTGTAATCTGCTGTATGCGTTTGTCTTTTTTTTTAAAAAAAACCACGCAGAAATGCAATAAAAGCACAAGCTTTTATAGGGTGATCCATGCAGTACCTTGGCTTACACAGGCTTTCCTGCCTTGGGTTGGGTTTGCCATGGACTGTGTTTTTTCTAAACCGAAACATCTTGAAATGTAGCATGACCCCAAGGAGTGATCATCTCACTTTCCTCCTTGGGTTATGCTCCACCAATGTTTCTGATGGATGCCAGCACTATAAGAAGTGGGTGCCAAGACTTTCGTAGACAGTCGGTATATTGCCCATGTGTAACCATTTCAGGTGAAGAGGTTAGGAACTTGTATTTCTGAGGTGATTCAACAAGATTAGCTCCATGTGAGGAGGGATCTGCAAATGTACGTTGTCTCTGTGTAGATGGTAATAGACGTCAGGAATGAAATTACTTACCTGGACTGTTGCTCCTCAAAAGGGGCGTCAGATCAGCCCAAGTGTTTGTGATATGTGCTGCTGTCCTGTTGTCACTGCTGTTGCCAAACTTGATACTTCCAGTAGTTATTGATTCTTCAGCTCTAATGATAGACCCCTTTTTGAGCTGCAGTTAATAACTTCTGTCTTTGCGACATGTGAGCAGGGAGAGCATTGTTTGTGCTGATTGCCAAGGATGATGTTATGTTCTGTGAAAAGACCAAGAAGAAAAATGTTCAGCATTGTTTCTCTGAGATGTACCAAAAATCTGCACGCACCAATGAAAGCAACCAGCGTTATAGTATCATAACAATGGTTCGTTAGGACTTTACCCCGGGCTGGGATGATGATTGTTCCTGTTTAAGACCAAGACCAACAGATGGCATTTGTTAGGACATTGATATTTATGTACAAAGTTGCCAGCACTTTAAAAAGTGGTGCCTCTCCTAATTAAGATGATAATGTACTGCCTTGTTAGGAGAGGCTCTGCTTGTAATGATGCTGGTGAATTATGAATAGAGGGAAATTAGTAATAACAAATGCCAGATGGAGGTATCTTTCAAAGAGGAGTATTTTGTGTAATATGGCATGTAAAGTTGACAGACCGGGTCTTAAAAGACCTTTATTATTCTTTAAGCTTTCCTGACAAAATTACTCTTTATCCTGCCAAGAAATGTAGTTTCACATGCCAGTGCATTTTTAAGCTAGAGTAATTAAAGTATGTCTCTAAGTTTATGGCTTGAAGTGAAATCTGTTCCTCCAGTGTTTTGTCAGGAATCTATAAACAGTGCAAGGAAGGAGACAACTTATAACAACAATAGTTTTGCCAATTCTACACGTTCTGCCTTTGAAATCAGAGGCAATTAGGGATGAACAAAACTACTTTCAAACTTTACAAAAAAACCAAAAAGTGTAAGTTTTTTGCTGAAGTTTTACTTCACATTTTTCCTTTGGTTGAAGGTGACTGTTGGGAATAAGAAGTGTTTTTCAAAAATTAAAACCTGCCTTCTTTGATTGAAGTAAAAAATGATTACTGAGTTATAAATGCATTGAATCCTCAAATGCTAGGCCTTTTTTGAACTTCCTGAGAGAGTGAAATGAAATCTATCTTGATTTGGTAGTGTAAATTAGTAATTAAAAGAGATATAGACAAGGGAAAGCAAGAAGGAAAACTTTGGGGTTTGTTATTTCTTTTTCTCATAAGAATATTCCCACTCCACGGTCATTCCAGCTTTGATCTCATCACCTGCTGGCAGCCGTCCATTGCAGAGGATGTCCTTTCACGATGATCTGTGGGTGAGGCAAAGTGTGTCACGGCAGGTGACCGTGAAGATTTGATTTTCCTTTGTCATTGTCCTCAGATTGCATTAGTGTAATAAATTACAGTTGAGGACTGTAGAAGTGTTGAATAGAGTCTCTCTTTGTCAGATATACCGAAAGTAGCAGGCCAGAAAGACTTTTGAAGAGCATACCTTCTGCTCCATCCATGCATAGAGTCACACATCGCTTCCAAATACACAATAGTAAACTTGAGACATAGTGTCCAAGACTTCCTCCAAAGGTACAACCAGCGTTCAGAAAGATAGCAGAGGAGTTGCTTTTGTCTTCTTTACATTATTTCTATGAGTATGCATTAGTAGGGGAATAAATGAAGTAATATATTTCAGTATTGGATGATGAAAAGAAGGCTTCTGCTTCATTTAGAAAAAGATCAAGATCAGTTTTCATGAGAATAAGACACTGTTTTGAATTATGCTTAGAACAGACTGTCCGACTATTTCTGGTATTAACGTTCATTGCCATTGCAAAGAGGATTTAACAATAGAAAGATGAGAACATGAGAAAAGAATGTCTAGAGGGAAGGCAGTCAAGGATGGGATTCAGTGGCTCTAGCTTTGATAACAAAAGCAAAGAGTGCTCTCAGTTGAGTCTTTTGAGACTAATCTGGTACTTTCGGTAACCCCTAAATTTACCTTAATGCAGAAAGAGCAGTATTTTAAGGCATTTTCAAAAACGACTTAGAGCATTGTTTCTCACTGATCTTGTTCAAGCTATTGTGAATTTACCTGGGAGATGCCCTCTGAGGTTATGGACAACTAAAAGCTGGTTTTACTTGCACTTCGTTAATGAATGAGCCATGTATATATAAAAAAACTAAACTGCTTTCTTTAACAGCAGTCTGCCTAATAGGAAATGGGCGCTATGACCCTTCTGCTCCAACTCTTTTGAAATCTGTACTGTTTTTTTTCCATGTTGTCAGTTTTGTTTATGCTGACCTTCTTTCTGTTGTCTTTTTTTTTTCCAGAAAAACTTTATAACTCCAATGGACGGGAGCTGAGACGGGCACTTTTCTCCTTGAAACAAATATTTCAGGTGAACAAATAATGGCTGTTCATTCTGTGATTTGAATGTGAATTGAATTTCTTTTTTTAATGTAGGGAATAACATGGTTTCTGGCAAAAGATAATTTTAAGACTTCATTTGTAATGTGTAGTTAGCCAATTGCTTCTTAGGGTCTTTTCTCTTTATGGTCTGCAGGCCTTCCCCTGTTCCTTCAGTCTGTCGAAAGGCAGGACCAGATGTGGAGTAATGGCAGAGTTAGTGGTTGGAACTTGCCAGGAACTTGCCCTTGTGACTCTCAAATGAAAACTTAGGCTGCTCATTAGACAGTGGCATAGTTCTGTACTGGGAAGACTGGGAGGGGGATGTGAAAAGAGGAGCTAGGAAACTATGACTTGGGGTGATGGCCCAACATTGACCTAGTAATTGACAAATAGACTAGGTTTAAGCCACATCAAAAACTGAAATCGGAAGCAAGATACATGGGACAGATCTGATGAGGAACCAAGATGAGAGAGCTTTACAGGTGTTAGAATTTAGATTGAGGTTAGAGGAAATGATTTTTTGATTAGCTGAAAGATACTTCATAGAGCTGAGGAGGATGAATGAACAGTTTAAGGAAAGGCGTGGATTAGAATGTAAGTGTTCATTATGGAGGAGACTTGAAATCAGCAGCATTTTGGGTCCTGTGGGGAAGTAACCAATGTGAAAGATGTGGTGTGGATGGTAAGAAAGTAAATTGGATTAAAAGCTTGGATTTCAGATTGGTTTTACAGGATAAGGAGAAGGACTGGGGAAAGTTGCAGGACTGGAAGGAAACTTGTTGGAGAGAACAGATCAGGAAAAGTGAAAAGAAAAAGTTGGTGGGAACTAGACCATACTGCCAACATGATCCTAAAATGGAATTCAGGATGACACATTTCATTTCTATCAGTAAATGCAAAATAAATAAGAAAAGCACCTCTCCTCCTTTATTAATGTATCCAAATGGAGGATAACAACCTACAATGATTTTCAGCCACAATAGGTAGGTGCAAGGGTTTAATTTAGCATTTTTGCGTTGTTTTAAATAGACATTTATTCTAAGAAGTATAACAACATTTAACAATTCTGCAAGACAGCAGAACTGCAAATTTCCAAAACGCACAATGCTGTTTGCAGGTTTCAAAGTTAAGCATTAAGAATTTAAAAAATGCCAGAATGAAGACTTTCTGAACAGTAGGAGTAGATGGTGAAGTGTGGACCATTTAACGGAAAATTTTGGTAGTTGAAGATGTCTTCTGTATCTGAAAAATATTCTTGAAGTCTGAAATTTTTGGATAAAGAAGGAGTTCCAGCTCCAAAACAGTCTGGTCATCTGATGTCCACAGATTGGGAAAACCGTTGTCTCTTCAAGGCATTCCCAGGGAAAGACTGTTTGAGAATCATAGTGATGCAAGCTGGGTTTCCTTGTGAGTCTGCCAAGTGGGTGGACTGTGTGCTCAGAAGAAATTAGGCAGGTTTCCAGGAGTCTTCTCTGGTTTCTTCTCTTTTTTGTTCACCTCGGTTGTTTCTGGGAAGTATTTGTATTTCTCTGAATTTATATATTCCACAGGTTAATCTGGGCACTGACACATAATTAGCAGTGGGTGCTAAGCCTCTTTCCCCAGTCATCCCAGACCTCCCATACCTCCCATCATGACTTTTCCCAGTTTGGGTATTCATAAATGTTCTGTTCCATGGGGATTATTTGAAGTCTAGTAGGTATTTCGGAGCACATAGTGCTCAGTGCTTTCAGTGAACACACCAGTAAGATCTCTGTCTTCTAGTTGATGAGCTGTTTTCATTGAAATGTTTAAATATTTATCCAAATAAATTTAATTGGAGTTGACTGGGTTGAAGAGTAATGAGAGGGAGGGGAGAAATGATGCACACAAACCATATCTGTGGTTGGTTTTGGTTGGTTTTTTTTTAAGTGAAGCCTGTCTGACAGTTTCAGAACATAATTTTCCTTGAAAAAGTCCACTTCCCTGTTTCCTAATGAATGTGATATGGAAAGGCATTTGGGAATTATCTGTTACCACTTTAAGTAGCTACCTGGTAGGACTGTGGCTGTTTGTCGAACAAACATACCCTTCAAAAAAATCTTTGTATACTCTCAAAATACAGGTTCTCGTTAGTGGATAATTGAAGAGAAGTCTTTTTCAAGCTGGAGAGTATTCATATCATATGCTCAAGTATTTGAGGTAGTACATGTCAAACTGCAAAATGGAACCCTGTATGATGTACACTCCCGTTTGCCTGTCAACTTCGCTGTCCTTAACAACAGTTACTGGCATTGCTATAAGGGCATCTTTTGAGCATGATTTTAGTTTATCTTGTGATGAACCATGAGAGAGGACGTAAGATGATTTTTATATCTATTTTAGAAAGAAAAGCTATTTCAATTTTTTAGTGAAGAAAAATACAAGTTAATATTACAAGGTCATATTATAGACGGAACACTATTCTGCAGAAAGTCATACCTAATTTTTGTCTACAACATTAAAGTGTTGTTAGCATTAGAAAGCTATCATTATTTTAAAAGTTATTTAAAAGGTCTATTTTTCAACATAAATATCTCTTTGATTTTTTTATCGCGTTATATTTAGTATTTTAAATTCCTTAGGAATATAACCTTTCAGAAATAAAATGTTGACTTCAAAACCAGTCTTTATTTTCATTTTAACAAATTTTCAGAGTGTTGTGGAGACTTCATCATGTCTTTCGGTGCCAAGACAGTTCGTAACACCATGTTTTTATAATCATTTCATCATAGCTGAGTTAATTTGGCACAGTTCTGTGTCAGTATAATTTTTAATTTAAAGACCTTCAAGGTAACGTGCAGTCTCTTATTTGTATTAAGTGGGAACAAGCCCAAGTTTTACATCAAATATGAATTCCAAATAGTCTGAGTTCTTGGTTTTTCACGCGAGGCCTCAGCAAAGCTTAGCAATGTTTGGCAAAAGCAATCCCTTTGTTTCAAATTTTAAATGAAAGATTCTTTTGGCAAGTCCAAACTTGGAATTTCTCTTTGGTTTCTTCTGGTGGGCTGGTTTTGGCAAAATAATGAAGTTATGTGGAGCATTTTTCTTTGACAGTAATGCCATTGTGTTCCTGTCATTCATTCTGAAGGGTTAAGATAGCCACATTCATCTTTTGCTGGACTGTACTGTAGTATTCTTCTTCTGACTTACCAGTATGCTTTTTGACGAACAAACTTCCGGAGTAAGGAAAGTAATGTTCAGATGAGAAGTATATGAAGCACTTGACCTTAAAAGAACTGAAAAAAGAAATACAGATATAATTGACAACCTGCTGAAGTATAGGTTAGCTCCCTTTGAATGTATTTTCTGACAGAATTCTGACTTGCTTGGTTCTTGCATTTGTCAGAGATTCGTGAATTTTGTGCAAAGTACTAAAACTCCCAAAGGCATCCAGGGCACAATCCAGCTGAACATTACACTTAAAAAATAAGGGTCAAAAAACATTCTTGCATTTCCTGATTGTGATATCATAAGAGAGATAAAAATACAGCTGCTTAAAGCATTTAATTCAATATCAATCTTAAAAGCAGAAAAATTTGGTATGAGCACTATAATATATGTAAATAGTGCTGCGCAATTTACGTGATATTAAAAAAGTTTATTTAACAAGGCCTCTGATATGACTAGATGTAATATAAAGCAGGCACATTTTAGAACATATAAACAAAAGTGTGCCTTGTAGTTACAAAGCATTACAGACCATAATTTGAAATCATGCTGATTGCATCATTTCAAAATATGAAATAACTGGATAAGAATATGGTGTTGTAAGAAAAAATAAGAAAGCTGTAAAGCATGTTTCAAGTCTGCTGAAATCTGTACTCGTGTAAAACTGCTTCTTAAAGTTTTGGAAAATATTTTTAGCCAATCAACGGGTTAGTTTTTCTCGAAAGTAGACCTAAAGGGTATATTTTAAAGTGTTGAGCAAAAAAGCTGTTTTTCTTTTAGGACTGCTTTCCCCACTAAGTGTCATTTGACAAGTGCAGGAGATCTCCCACTATTTTTCTTGAGGAACCTAGATTCCCGTTTTGTGTTGTGATCAGAATATCAGGCAACACAGTTACAGAAATTCTCTTACAGAATTTTCTTCTATTGTTGAGAAATTCATTAATCATTGAACAATTGAGCTTTGTGTAAAACATCACAAAGAACAGCTATGTAGAGGCACTGGAAACATTAACTAGAAGGTGTTTGGATAGAGACAATCTTATCACTGAATGAAATCAAATGTCACACACTTCAACTGCTAAGGAGTCATCAATCATCCTTAGGAGAGCAGAAGGGGTATTCTGTGTTTGCCTCATTGATCTCAAGGAAGGAGGCTGCTCCTTCCCCTCTTGCAAGCATGACTGATGACTCCTTAGGGTTTGAAGCTTCGAGACACTTGATTTACGGGCTGCTGTCATCACTTGTGAGGCAGGCTGCCACCTCTCCCCTTCAAGAGCCCTCTTGGAAGGGTTCTTGAGTAAGTCATGAAGAAAAGAGAAACCTTGATTTTCGTCCCAAATCTAATTCACCGTAGTTCTGCCTAGTAATTTACATATCTGTTTAATCCTACTTTACAAATGATATGTCTTGTTACTGTTTGGAGATTATAAATAAAATAGCTATGACACAGGAAATGTCAAGAGCATTTTCTCGATTTTGTTGGGAAATAGAGCGTCTTCATGCCTAGGCAATGTTACGGGCTAAGATCTAAACAGTCCTTAAAGACACTATAAAATGTGAACTTCTTCCACCACAAGGACAGCTTAATTTGGGAAGCCACCGTTATTTATTCTCCAATTTGTGTGAATTTTTGAATTGAAACAGGGAGCCTGTCTCTTTAGCTTCCTCAGGTATGCAATGCACGAACATTGTCTGATCTGCTGCTTGGTTGCCAGGAAGAATATACCTGGTAGGGTCTAGTCTAGGTGACTTTTCTAGTAATTTTTAATTCCACTATTAACTGAGAAGAAAAAACTACTG